ACTTTATGTTAAACCTCCAAAATTTGCCAAAATCCCACAAACATTGAAATTATTTGCCTTTGAAATAGCACACATACACTAGAGACGCTATTTTCTCATACTATAATACAATTTTTCAATATGAGTGGGTCTTCGATCCATTTTTTTTTTTTTTTTTTTTTTTTTTTTTTTTGTTGAAAGTTTATCCTCAAAGCTAATTGGCGTAAAAATATAATTTTTTGTTTGGTTAAGAAATAAATGGAGCAAAAACCCACTATACCTTAAGGGAGCCGACTGGGGTTTTATTGTGTGAAAACTACTATAGAGAAACTCTTTAATTTATATCATACGTACCTTACATTGACTTCAGTATATATGCCAAGTTTAGTGAAAATCTACCGTCTGGTTATTTTTAGGGACCATCTCAAAATACAGATACATTTACTATAGGATAACATAGGAAAATACCATTTTTTTTACACTTCGGAGCAAATTATACAAATGCTACTATAGACTTTTTGCTCAAATTATATTATTTGATGGGTAATACTGTATTGTACATTTTATGCAAGAAACACAAAAATCTACGGTCTGGTTTCCAGAGGGGACATCTCAAAATGTCAAAATTCATGATATTTTCCTGTTTTTATGGAATACAACAAAACATGACAGATACCACAGATTTACATAAAAAATAATATAAATGATTGCGAGATTCTCAATTTCCTATGTTTAAAATTTCAAGAGCATTTATTCTATACTTTTTATTTTTTGACATAATTAATGACCCCTCTTTAAGAACCTCGGTTATTCATAACGTCAAAAACTCACTATTACGACGTCTATCTACCCATCATTAGAAAAATCGTTTAAAAAATCAGTTATTTATAAACGTAATTAAATTTTTAACCTGAGATTTCCTAAATTTGTTAATTTTTATAAATTATGTAAAAATAGTTGCTCTAAAAGAGTAAATACGCTTTATTTTACTATGCTGCGCGAAGTATTGCGCAATGAAAACCCCAGTCGGCCCCCTTAAAAATACACTTTTGTGACACAACATTCGCATCTTTCCGAGAATTTTTTTAAGTCCATTTAGTCAAGGGTCATATGACAATCATGATTTAAATGCCACTGTTAATCAGATGTGTAGCATAGTGGTTAGCGCATTAGTCTCAAAGGAAAATAATACTTGAGATTTTTATTGTTAGGGTTCGAACCCAACGAATACCACATTTTTAAAAACAGAATACTATTTGCTGAGAAATATTTTTTCTCATAAAATTTTGTTTATCAAAATTTCATAAATTTCAATAACGAGATCTTTAGTCTAAATACATATACTAAATTACCAAATTGAATATAATTTTTACATTTTTGAAGCTATAGGCATTCTGCATGCCTTGTTCACCCATCTCCTTTCAGCAAAATTAATTATGCTTTATTTATTTTTAAAAACGCTTTACTCTTATAGACCTATTGTACATGTATGGTTTCAGACAAGCGAAAGGGTGATACACCAAGTTTTGCACCGGTATGTCTGAGACGTATGAAGTACAAACATTTTAAAATTGACATTTGTTAAATATTTCAAATAACAAAAGCCACTTAGTACCTCTCTGTCTTGCCATTGTCTTCATGTATCATTATTTAAAAAAAATAGCTGTAAATCTCGCCATTTCATAATCCAGATGAAAATAGATGCATCATTTATAAGCCTTATTATTATAAAATTACATGAAAATATTATTTTTATCTTTCCCAGGGTAAAATGAAAACAAATACATGTAATTTGTATGAGAAAAAGAGTAAGTTCAGAATTCACGTTACGTTGGTGCATGTGAAGTGTTTATAAACTTGTACATAGGTACTGAAACCACACTTCACAATTTTCTTTATTCTATTCTTTTACCATCTTAAAGTTTAACTATAATAATCCCAAAAATAAAGTCAACTTAGAGCCATTTATATCAAATTATCTTGTAAGTATAACCAATTGTAAGAAGATACAACGAAGAGTGGTTCATCTCCTTAATGAAGGCAGCATGTTGTTCTTAATGCAGGAGGTGTGTATAGAATTCACCCCTCTAAGTGGCCGATCGTGAGGGGGTTACGTATGATAGGTATATAAATAAAACACTTCTACACGAGGGAGGACTTTTAAAGATTTTATTCTTGTCCATAGTTTTCTACACATGACTACTAGAAAAGATTTTACCACAAACTCAGACGGTGGAATGGGGAAAACATGGTTTTTAAGTCATCTATGTTTATTTTTTTTATCTATTTGAAAATTGCACATTATTATTAGAAATATTACGTATACTCGTAAGAGCGTTAACACATAATAAATTGCAGTTACATAGTCTTTTTTCAAAGAGACAGCATTAACAGATAAGTTTTTTACCTTGCAAAGTTTTAAGAATATTTTGGCAATTAACAATTCACCTTTCACCACTCCACCGACATTTGCCATCCATCCTAAAACATCAAACATTGTCTAATGGAATAATGTCGAATGCAATCGGGGGGAAGTTGCATTCATTTCAAATACTGAGGTAGACATTAAAATTTTTTAAAAATTACAGTCCAATCCACAAGTGGAATAATGGTCAAATTCACTAAAGAAAAATATCTGTACTGTAATTTTGTGTGTGACACTTTTTTGTATAAGATTTTTCACGACCAAATAAAATGATACTCTCATTTAAACACATCATTTCAATCTCAATTATGCTCAAAGGAGCACCAAATGAAATATTTCATTGCAATTAATGATACTGTAAATTTAATTAAAATTGGTAAAGTTGTCTAACTTTATAATAAATTGACCAGGTTTAAATAGAAAATACATCGAGTTTGTGGAAAATCTAACTTCACAAGACCCATTGTCACTGGGATGAACACAGAGAAACAAAACAACATATCAACCAAGAGCAATCCATTAACAGAAAAAATCATAAGAAAACAACAAAACGTTTGACGTTCTAAAGACTGACTATTAAAACATAAACTTGACCAATAATTAATAAGTGTAAAACGTATTCAATGGTGCCTGAAATTATTTATAAATCTAAAATGCATCACAAGTCTTAATATCTTATCTCAAAAATAGTGAAGCACTTGTATGATTTGGTCTGATTATTAAATCTACTCAATATCTTTGTTATATAAGTAAATTATTCACCGATCTGTAGATATATTGAAGAACACTTTGGAATTTTTCTTTTTCTTAGGGTATTGCATATTAATGAAATCTTTGGTAGTTTAAACATCATGGCAATAACAGATCTTTTAAACAATAAAACAACATCGAGTGATAATAATTAACAAGTGAAGGTTCATTTTCAAATTTAATTCTGAAGATATTGAAGACCATATGAATTTATATTTAGTAAATCATATTTCTGTAAAGATGATTTGATTTGTTCTGCAATACAATCTATTTAAAAATATTTTGGAACGTCTGTCCTAAAGAAAAATAAACTGTATACGTTCGTTGTGATGTAAATATGTCCAGCTTTGAAGTACCTTTTCGTTGTCCCTAATTCATACTGTAAACTTTACCTCACAATTTAACTGTTAGAAAAGGCTAAAATCTTTATATTTCAATCAATTTTTTAATAAAAATCATTGAAACAATTAATTATATATATGATTTGGCAAGAATACTTTTGCAAAATTTATCAAGTCTACATCTATATATTTTCATGCCAGTTGAAGATCACTTCGATACTTGATTTTGTATATCCATGAGTATTTTTGTTTAACAAAGGAAAAAATATCATATTACAAAAGTAATTAAACGAACATCAAAGTAAATTACTCATTAAAAAGTAACGATACGAACACCCAAGTAAATTACCCATGAAAGAGTATTTGTGTGCTCTTAAGTTAAAAATAAAATTCAGGACGCTTAAAATATACAATCATTATAAAACAAATAAGTATTTAACTAGAGGGTATAAACAATAAATGTTCAACTAAAACTTCAGAGAACACGGAAGAGTACAAGCTAATATAAAAGTATGGAAAAAAGATTTAAAAAGAAGTATTTCGCACCAAATTAAAAAAAAGATGATGTACCCCGCCAATGGTTGAAATTGTATCTCCTTGAAATTTTCCGTCTCCAATACCAACTGTTTAATCATTGAGTAAATACTTAAAGTGAAAATATGTGATTTTTTTTTTATTTAAAAGGTTTTTTTTAAATGATACTTTTTAAAATTCAATTTTAAGAAGCAAATGGTGAAATTTATAATAATCAAAACAAAAAGTTGATATATTGTAACACAACAGGATATGTTTGTAATTGTATGTCATCGACTTCATATTTATAGGTAGATAAGACAATAAATAAACAAAATTTTAATTTTGTATTGTCTTCAATATTTCATTATGATTTTATGAAAAAATCAATCATATATATTCTTAAAGTACACACAATTTTCTTTAAAAAATCAATGATTAAACAGGGTAAAGCTGCCATTTAATGTGTTATTTTGTATACCGACTTTATCTTTTAATTATTTGTATTTCTTATTTCTCTCAGCATTGTTTAAGAAAATATAACATATAAAATATCTATTATATTGTAACTCTTCTGTTTTCCTTTTGTCTTAGCGCCCATGATATTAAAAAAAATCTTTAGAAATAAAATAAAACTTAAAACACAAAGAACACACGGTTTAAAAATACTAGAAACCCTCATTTGAGGTAGATATGGTTGCTATATAGTCTTACATCATGTGAAACACACAAGTAATATAAAGCTCAACATCATAATTGAAACGGCACAATGAAAAGTAACGTGACAGTTTAGCCACGTTTTGAAAAACGGTAACAATACAGAAATCGTATCTACGTCATAAATTGTATCTCAGCACTATTTCTTTTCAATGTTACAACCAAAGCTTTGGTACACAGTAAAGGGTGTATCATCCGTTGCAGACATCTGCTGATAATTTTAAATCATAAATAGACTTTAGAAAATATCTTAGCAGGAGAAAAAATGCAAGGGATATTCCAGAAGTCCAGACATTCCAGTTAGCTTGGAACAAAATAGTAACCGAGTAAGCGGCAGTAAGTCCACAATAGTAGAAATTGTTTGTCACAGAAACGCAATCTATAAATCAAACGAATCTGACTTACAGATGTTCCATTCTGCTGTTATTTTTTACGATAAACACAAATGAACAACACTTTCACAGACCTCCTAATCCGGAATTGTGTCCCTCACCGAGCCCGACATTATTACCGCTACTTCCGTTTCGGACTAGTGGTTTTTCGGGAGTTCGAATAGGACAATCAGCGATGAGGTGTTCAGTAGATTTACAGTTATGACATCTCTTTGGTAACGGTCCATGGGGGCATTTGGCAGCAATATGATTTCCAAAGTCACCACAGTTGTAGCACCTACTATATACAATTTTAATTTAAATCCATGAATTCTTTCTATTTCTTATAACAAAACATTATTTATTTATTTATTTATATAAAATTTAGATAGCAATTAGCAAGCATATATGCTTATACATGTATCGCTCCCTTATAATTTAAATTCACAATATGCTAGAATGGTGTGTTGAAACTGATTTACTTATGGCTCATACATAACACATTTTACTTTACAAGTATTTAGAGATTTTTTTTAAGGAAATGTGATGGGACCTTATTTTTCTAAACTTTTTCCTGGACAGTGGCCGACGTGAACTCCCTCTACATTCTGTTCCCGAAGGTCCACATACAAAGGTAGCCTCCACACCTTTATCTGAAGGTTTACTTTCAAATTCTACTTCTTCTCCATCATCTAGACTTCTAAAACCAGCTTTGTGAACTACTGACTAGAAGAGAAAACGTATTTTTTAAACAATTTCATTTCATATGTCATAATACAAGTAAATGAAAAGGAGAAACAGGACTACATATAAGAGATGAAATTTACATTATTATTTATATATGAAAAAAGGAAAAATGGGAACATTATGTGCACATTGTACTGTTAAAATATTGTGCACCTTTCAAAGCAATTGATTTCAATTGAATTCTTGATTGCTTAAATTCTAAAAGACAAAAAAAAATGTTGAAATTGTTTTATTATCGTGAAGATATTTGATGCTAAATTAATTCTAAATTATGAACATTAACTTTAAACTTATCACACAGAACCAATAATTCTTATTGGTATTAGCTTGAAATTATAAAACAAGAAACGAATACATTAAATTTTCTACGTTTCATAGTACTTTTATGAAAATGTATTTTTTTATTCATTATTTACATTTAATTTTTTTTTCTTCCAATATAGCTTGTCTCCAACAAGAGCAGAAAATGCTGAGGAAAAAAAACCCTGACAAGCAAAATCAATAGTATACAGAATGCCAGGTTGTATATATTCTCTATACGCCCTTCTCTCCTGACTATTTGCATTACATTAGAATGGAAAAAACCCTGGCAATCAGTGGGGACAGAGAAGTCTTGTATGTATTGATTAAGCAGTAAAACGATGTTAGTGGATGCTAGACTTTGCACACGTATATCGGCTTCAATCCGTCTAGCGATTGGTAATCAAGGAATGGATTCAATGATTTTTTTAAATGCAAAGTTTATTAAAAAAAAATATAACACTATTTGACCAATGTTTGCAAATATTTCTATTTTTTTTATAGTCTGTATTCTTTCATTTATTAATTGAAATTCAAAATGTTAAATGTCAGTAATTTCAAAATTTAATCATTTCATACCTTACAAAATGTCTATTTTTTTGGCTAAAAGGTTGCACCAATATTTGCTTTCAAATTCATACATGTATTGTTAAGAAATCTTAGCCAGAAATGCTCTTAATTTTTATTCCTGAAAGCAAGAAAAAATGTGATTTCTTAATTTTTTAAAATTTAATTTTTAATACAAAATTAATCAAGCATTTTATGAAAAAATTGTACAGATCATTAACATTTAAATTCATCCTTCCTTACACAACATTTCAATATCAATACCCTTATGAAAGGCACATATATTCAACAAGGATTCTCTCATATGATTTTATAAAATATACATACATGTACAAAAATATTTGAAATTTGAAAAAAGAGAGAAATATAATTTATATAATTTTTCCGCTATAACTTTGATTTGGTGCCTTCTTCTCCAAACAATTTAAATGTAAATGCCAGTGTTTAAAATATGCATGAAAATGTTACAAAACTTAGTTTTATATTTCTAAGATTATATGAAACATTGCTGATTTACTTATGTATGTCTTCAATGAAATAGGAAATATCAAAAATATTCTTTCATTCATATCATGAGTCATTGTACCAAAAATCATTAATTTAAATATTCATTTAAGGAATGAATTTAATAGCTACACAAGATATACTGTATAAACCTGGGTTGGGACAGTCTACGCTTTATAAACCCCGATGCAGTTTTTAAAAAAGCGTAAACTATTTTAACCCAGTTTATACCAGTATAACTTGGGTTGCTATTAAATACATTCCTTATAATTTAATTTTCTATTATTGAGTGCAGAAAATAAGACAATTTATCCTTCAAAAGAGCCTTCAAAATGTACTTAATTAAAATGTAACGTCAAGCGGATTGATACGTATTTTACGTAAGCAATTGTGACGTAGGCCGAACAGGTTATACGATATAAACTAATCATTTTTAATCCAATCAAATATAGCGAATCAACCAAAATTAAATTATTTCACTTTAAAGCACTTTATTTACACTAACAAAATTTATATCATTTTTATTTCTTGCAAACAAACAAAGGCATGATCAGTTAAAATGCCTGCCTTTAAAGATTTTAGATTTCCTGCACATTACATGAACAATTACTAAGTATCTTTTCACAACTATAAAATATGAAGATAACAACAGTAATCAAGCCCAGAAGTCCACAGAAACAATACAAATTTGGAGGGGAGGAGGGGGTTTAATATAAATTAATCTATAATGTATATATAGTTGTATCAATTAAGAGTACAGATATATCTTAAATCAAGACAACCTATGTCTACATATGAAACTCAAAATACCACCAATGTACTAAATGGAAGAATTGCTCTTCATTATATGTTGTATTCTGTCTGTTATCCTATCTGTAATTATACATGTTATATGTTTATGTCCACTGGGCCCTGATTTGGTAATAAATCCTATACTATTCTATTCTATATTTATCTTAAAATTTAAGGGTACCAATCTAACCTTAATTTTTTCGTTTCAATTTTCAGAAAAAAATTAAATATACGACTATATGAAAATTTCTAGGGTTAAAACATAAATTAAGAAATCAGAAAAATTATTTATTAAGGTGCCCAATTTTTGCAAAAGGTACCACTTCTTCCAAAGTGTTTAAACTTGAGTAGTTCACCCCAAATGAGACATTTGGAACCCTTCAAATGTTTACATTTCATATACATAAATATTAAGAATATAATAGCAAGAAATTTTTGAATTTCGATATTCTTGAAAGCTTTCATGGGATTTAAGAATAAACATTTTTACAGAAAATAAGACTTTTTGTTAAATGTCTGCATACAATTTGTCCATGACCTCAACTTATTTATGTTGGCCATAAAAATAAGTTGTCCACTTTTTTATCCAAAAAAAACAAAACATTTTTCTTAACAGATGAAATCTAGAAAACCTTTGTTTTGTTTTTTTTTAAATATCTATATTCTATTTGTAGATTATACTGAACATATGCCGTTCCTAACAAAGTTATGATACAGAAAAAAGAAGAAAATAGAACAGGTAAAGATGTTTGTACAGCTTTTCTTATCATATAGTCAACATAATCAGCATATATTCATACCATAATCACTTCGCACAAGTTCTCATTAACATTGTACGAATGTAACATCAGATCACAACATTTAAGGTCTGTGACCAGGTGAAAGGTTAACGTTGTTTATGACTGGACAAGAGACGGCTAGACAACATATTACAGTTAAACTAATCCTGAGTACCGCCAGGCAAGCAGAATACAATACTGGATCAATAAATCATACAAGGAAAATTGTACTTGCTACATGTACAAGTGATCATGTTGAATTTTTTCTTCTCTTTGGTTCCTTTTTCCAATGTTATAAACCGATCAATTTCAATGCTAAAGTGTTTTTATAAATAACAAACTAAAAAAGCAACATAAGTCATGACAGAGGTTATGGTATAGCTTGTCTACAAGTTGAAGGTTTAAATCAATCAAATTTGTACAAAAATGTGATTAACTTTTAAAATACATCAGATGAATTTCTAAAGAATACAGTACACTCAAAGAAATTTCCCTGGTTTATCATATATCTATGCAATTAAAAAAAACCAAGAGAAATGTGTCATCTTTTTATTAATTTAAATGATCTTAATTACAATAAAAAATGTATAAAAGTAAAGCTATAGCTATGTTTAATTTCACGACATCATGTCATATTCATTTTTCGCTCTGCAATCGTTTCAGGAGAAAAGGAACAATTTCTTTGAACCATATTTAATAAATGGTTACACTACATTAACTTTCTATAAAACAAAATACAGATATTTGGATTTTAAATGAAACATAGATGAATTAAACAATATGAAGTAAGAAGGAAAAAACACGTTCTAAACGTTCCTGATAAAAGAAATCTATTTTTTTTTAAGGCAAGAACAGAACGATTGAAAAATGATGAAGTTTGTGAAAAAAAATTTTGTTAGGAATAATGTTCGTATTTTTTTTAATTTTCAAAAATAGAATTTCGATGTATTTACTGTTAAGAAGAGTGTATAAAATACATCAACATTACATAGTGCATCAGATATAAATCACATGAATAATACGCAGCTGTTTATCACGGATAATTACAAAAAGTGTTCTTTTAAAAAAGAAAACTAAAAAAATAATAATAAAATGATTTGTTGACACATAATTAAATCTTGAAATAACAAGACTGTTACATTGTATACATAATTTCACCTGTGAAAAGAATTTATTTACCGAAACTTTACATATGAATCGGGTGATAATGTTATGATTAATGACATCAAAAGCAGGAATCTAACGACGTTACAGAAAAACGTTTTAATAAATAACTTCGAATTAAAACTTCAATCCTATTTACTAATTTTGTAGAAATGAACATGATGAATTTGTCATTTTTGTGTCTCTGTGTGTGTTCAATTCAGTGTAACAGTTGTGATTATTTACGATGATGTATGACGTATCATGAAATGCAGTCAAGGTTACTGTACAGCAAAGAGATATTAAAATGTACGGTTAATGATTTTAAATTACGTATTATGTACACAGGTAACGCGCAATTAAAATATTATGACAGTATACGCAGAGAAAAAATAGTTCCACGAGAGAAACGTAGTTTCTTTAAGATAAAATGATTTATAAACGGAGTTTGCAAAAATTACGTGTGGTTCTAAAACGAAGAACAAGCAAAACATCTAAATAACCAGATAAATAAATACATACTTGCTTGAATTAAATATCAAATGAGGCCAAGGGATTTTCGTACATTTAATTGATAAATGATTTATTAATTGATTAATGACATCAGAATAAATATGACGTCATTAAAATATCTTCCATCAGAAATCAAGTGCATTGAGAAATAAAATATATTTTCCGAAAATATGAATAAATGAGATAAAACCTCAAAATTCAGATATCTTATTTGGAAACAAAAATGCTAGAGACGACATTTTGAATTGGATGGTAATGGAAATAAGGATACCTACTTGATGAACAAAAACATCCTGTGCTCCGTCATCGGGGGTAACAAAGCCCCATCCTTTGGCCACATTGAACCATTTACAGCGGCCCCTCCTTCGGCCTCCACCTGAAAAGAAATTGTACTTTATGGAAGCCATTTTGTATACATAAACATTTCAAGAGATGGCTACAAAGAAACCACACACTGACAAACTTTCAATTAACTTTTCAACACTTGGAGATTCCCAAATGGGATGAATAAGAACAGAAAGGGAAAAAAGTGGCTCTCACTGGAGACATTGTAGTAAGGTTTTTAGAATTTATACAGCAGAAATAAGAAAAAATAAACATTTAACACAATATTATCTAACCACTAAAAACACACCAAGCCTATCCTACTACATAAGAAATGATTCAATGAAATATTCTCCCACCTTATGCTGCTTAATTCCTTCTGCAAATTACCAAGAAGTGCAGAAACAAATGGAATCAAACATCAGAATAATTCAAAAAATTATTAGTGCAGAACTAGAGGTTAGTGGACAATGTTAAGAATTTTTTCCCTTTGGTGCAGTATTGGTTCTATTTTAATTTCCAAATTAAATGCCTATGGTTTAGGCAGAAAATGATACGCAAACACTTTTTGCATACAACTCTGATTAATTTTTTTTTTCATTCAGAATCATTTTAAATCTGAAGTACTTTTTTAATATATTTTTGTTAAAAAAAATATACATATCAGCATGATTAACAAGGAATGAATAAGATATATAATATTACTAAATGCAAATAAAAAGGCAGTGATGTTTTAACAATATTATTTTTTTCAAAAAAAAAAAAAGCACATATACATGTCATTTTGGACTGATTGAAATGGCACAATGCTTGATGTTCTAAACAGAGCTTGCAGCTTCTTCCAGTAAATATTTCCTTTAATACAATGACCTAGGATCAAACAATTGTACATTGCTTATTTGTATATAACAAATTGCCAAAGAAACCCATCCAGCTAGTGGCACACGAAGTATATAAAAATATATATATATTAGCATAATAAGTACCCTTCCGCTTCTCCAAAGCAAACAGAGGCTGCTAATATAAGATACCATTTGTTTACACAGGAAAACAACTTAGGCCACTCTTGATTGTTAATCTCTGACTTATGAGAGATCATCTGGAGAGAATCTCAGTGCGAGAAGAACATATGACATCTAAATATTTATAATAATTGGTTACTTTAATACATTTTAATGGTCATCAGAAGGAAGAGGGGTTTGTGAAGTTTTGATTGACAGGCAGGGAATGCATACCTTGTACCAAAAAATAAAGGAGAAGAAAAAATCAAAATGCAGGTGATATTTGGGATATTCAGTGCATGTTTTTCATATGCAAGTAAATTATGTTTCTTAAAAGTGTTTTTTTTTATTTTATTTTTTATAAAACAGACATTACTGCTTTTCTAATTCCTTATTTCATATCAGTACAAATATCTTCAAAAGTGCAATAGGTAAACAAGAAGCATAACATTCTATAAATGCAAGAATTTAAAATGATAATCATTACATATTCTATTTTTGATAAATTTGAAATTTCATTATATTTTCACAACAACCATGGACATGTTTATTAAAGTATGTTGATAAATAAGAAAAATAACTAGGAAGTATCAAACAGAATTTCTGTTAAAAATTCCTACTACAATAATGAAAATTCATGAAAAATGCATGGAATACATATTTTCTACAAACTTGACAAACTATTTTTTTACGTTTAAATTGTAGTCCAAATAATACATAACATTGAAAATAATATTAAAAATTGAAATATATCAGTCATTTGCCCCCTTAATAATAATAATAATATCTTTAAAAGCATCTTGAGATTTTCCACCATTTTGTTTCTTTACTTGCCCTAGTAAATATGCTCTCCACTTGAAGTTTATGAACCCAATGCCCAGAAATAATTATTGTGTCCAGTCACACGCCTCAGGCAAACAGTGGTGTTTTTCTTTTACTCTGGCATTTGCAAATTTCTTTAGATTTGAATATGAGTAAAAGCTATCATTTTTTTTTAATCAAATCAGTTTAGAAAATTAAGGAAAAAAACTGTTGTTTGCATGATGCATGATGCATAATTGAAATTCATCCTTGCACAAGTTTAATGCTGGTTTTTATGTATAACTAGAGTAATAAATATACACCTGATGTTTCTCACTAATATTTAATTATTAAATTTCATGTTTTCACTTTAAAAATACATCCAAGCTAAGAAACTTTCCTAAATCATTATAACTGATGGATAATTTGCACTCACCCATTTGTGAAGATACCATTCTTTACAAATGAAAAGAGAGGATTAGATATTGATGAAAACTTCATTAAGATAAAGAAAACAAGGGAGGGGGTGTTTCCTACAATACCAGCCACTCCCATGAATCTGAAACTATGACATCATTTTTTTTTTTTTGCGTTGTGCACAAAGGTTTAAAGGTCATTCAGTACTCTTAAAGATAATATCAGGAGGAAAAGGTCATAATACTACATATATATTCCCAAATAAGTACCTGGTATTAGGTTTTTTCCTGATGAATACATGTTAACAGACCCTGTACACACAGACATGATATTGGTTGATTAGGATGGACCCCAAAAGCCCTAATCGCATTTGACAAGAGTCATTGTCTCTTACACCCGTAATCTTTTTTTCTTTCATTCCTCTAATTTCCATACCCGTGTGTTCACGCATGTAACTCTCGAAAATCGGAGTTAAGAAAAGTATGGTCTCATATTATTATGAAAATAATGTGAGCACTAATGAGAAGGCTAAGTCTATGGTTATATTTTTTCCGATTCAACGTAATGCAAGGTTAGTTTTTAGAAACTATTTCACCACACAGCAGAATTAATAGACATTAATTACTATTTTCACTCTTTAACACGTAATGTAATAAATTAATAATAACCTCCATTCCCTCCCATGCTTCTGCGTCATTGGATGGAAATCTGGTCCTAGTACTCGGTCCAAGAGAATCCTATAGCATTAGTAAGACACATAACACATGTTCATCCTTGTATTTGTTTTTACATATGTCTCACTTTTATGGCATTCGTCAGAATTATCTCCACTAAAATGATCCACTATTATGATTCCGTTTGATCTAGTCTGAATAACGTCCCTTTCCTGGAGTTTGCTCATGGTAAAATCCCATCTTTTTGGATCAAGGTCGATGGCAACGCACGTACTGCCTGACCACTAGTTTAGTAGGTCAGTACTGACCATATGATGCCACTATAGATGCGATACATGAATCTATAATCAATTATGTTTACAGCCTACGAATATGATTTTCATTGCTTATCCTGATGAACTCGACAATGTGGAAGTCTGTCCGATCGAAGATATCTAGCGTTTCAACCTCAAGATATTTTCTCCCTGTGACCTCAACGCTCGGCCAAGGGTCAATATACTTTAGCTGCCACACAAAAAATCGCAGCGGAAGCCTTTAGTGCGTCCGTTACTAAGATTCGGCGTGGTGCAATTGGGTCAGGTCACTCTAAATAAGCTCAAACAGTATCGTGGATGCTCAGAGTCACATGTGAAATGACATTACCTAGTTTACAAACTTTTTGCGTTCTTATCAATGAAAATTTTAAATCAACGTAAACAAAGATGACATCCAAATGATCGACAGTTCTATGGAATAACAACACATTTTCTTTCTCTACAATGCCCCCTATTAAACCACATCCGGGAGGGAAAATTCAGGTCAGATAATGAAATAGTTCAATGACATACATAGTAGTGTGTACATTCCAAATGACTTGCACTACAACACTTCACAAAACATTCCTAACTAGAAAGAAACTTATGTAACCTAGATTTAATACATAGGAGTGTTTGTAAACAAAACACCTTCGACACCACTCACACTTACTCATACAAAATCGTGCCATATATTACAAAGCTATTGTGATGGAAATGTTGAGGCTTGCAAATGCATTTTTAAAAAAAATAGCCATCCGTACAGTGTGTCCACTCATAACAGAAAAGGAATGGATTATTAAACTTAAGGCTAATGACCGTGTCAATTTTTCTATTTGTCTCTAAAATCAAAGCCACGTGGCCCTTATACAAAGACATCATAGTCAACAGTTGTGTGTTTGATATTTAGTAGCATCTGTCAGTATCCTCTGATTGTCCAGCCAGAAGAGACAAGGGTTCATGACCCCTTTACGCAGACTCCCGCCTAACTATATGTCCTCCGGAAAAAAAGACAGGTGTGTCCCACATACAGTAGCACATCCGCTATCATCTCCAAGAACCCCATTCCCCCATTTTTGTCCTTTTTATAAAAATTATTGACAAAAGACCATTAAAACTTAGCGAATAAGACTGGTCGGTCGTCGGATTCTTAATCTAAATGGAAGTGTTGAAAATTTGAGAAATGCTTATGTTAAGCAATGTTTGTGAGTAATTATCTTTAATTACCATTTCTCTGTTTTGTTTTTCTTAATTTATATAGTTTTGTTCACAAAATTACTATGACAAACATGCTTTCAGATCGCATGCACAATTACAATCCAGAAAGCTCATGAATATTCATTATCTTGTGCAATGATATTTTTTCTGCGCAGCATAACTCCGCCCTTAGGTGGAATTACGATAACATGACAACATAAGGCTTTTTACAGATATGCATGATTTAACAGCAAGGCGTGTTTTCAAAATTGTTAGTAAATATTAAATGACTTAGCTCTATTTTACATTATCGTTTTGTATGTTTAAAACGTTTTCTTGCAAATACGGCGTATTGATTTTGCTCTTGATTGTGTCTGCAGTGCAACTTATTTTCCAATAATGTGATATTTCTGAATGGAAATATGTACTACGTTCAATTTTATTTTATTCAAATAAAGATGGTGACTATCAACTTTATCATTACTCATAGCAAATTGTAATGCTTTTTACAACGCAATTTAAATTTACAACCACAGAATATTTATTTTATAACATAAACATTCTAACACTATTTAACCATGAAAACCTTATGTCTGAAAGAAAATGAAATAAATATATTTAAAGAAGGATTTAATTTGATAAGAAATTTCTGCACTTTTAATAAAAGAAAGAAATGAAATCAGATTTTTTTTTAACGAACATCAAATTAAAAATCTCTCTCAATGACAATATCACTCGCATCATAACCTATAATTGAAAAGAAATTTTAAATATTTTTTTATCAAAAACACAGGTGCAATATAATCGGAAGACATGAGCACAGTATTAGAAAATAAACCACAATAAGTAATGTTTTTTGTTTTTGATCTTTTTCAGAAGAAAACTATTCTAATTATTAATGATATTTGGACAACTTTCTTTCATTGAAACAAAGTTTTAAAGGTTATTTAAAAATAATTCAGCAAAAAACCATGGCATTTACATTTTACCATAGATATTTTGATACATTTGATGGTATAAATGAGTAGAAAATTAAATTTCAGATTAAATTAAATTTTAATAAATTTCTAGACATACATGTACGTTTGACACCATTATTCAATAGATATTTTCCATAAAAAATATACACTCCTGTGTGAAATAGATAGGTTACATTGAAGACATGATATTAACTTACTTCTGTAAATATTTTACATTGACTTTACTACTGTACTTCACAAAACAATCTTTTAAAGAAGTTAATATATATTAAAGTGTTTCTTGATTTGTTTCATGACGTGTTTGGCACCTTATCTCACCTCTGATGTTTTTGGAGGTCCGTGTTTGCTTTGCTCCCAATTTGTATTGTTTTAATGGATTTTGAGCTTGAATACTGTTCGTTATCTCCATATTTCATTTAGATAACTAATATATAAAAGAAACTTTAATTTGTTCCTCCAAATCGAGTAAATAAAGTCCGTCTTGATAATCATACTTACAGACACATATATATATATAAATCATCCCTGGATGCTGAGACTAGTAGGGGCTATATAGCAATATATCATTAGAGAAGAAACTCGCTGATTTGGATTTGTTACCTATCTAACCCTTTGTAAACTACCATATATTTGTCCAAAATAAATATTATTAACTCTTTCATTAGAAATTTATTTCATTATTAGTGGACCCTCTACTTAATATGTCTTGTATGACTTGCAATAAGCTTGTCGACACTGCAGATATAATTCTATCTTTATTATATATGTATGAAATAATTTACCATATCTGCCTCAAGTGCTACTCGATAAGAGACCCTGAAAACTTCAAAAGGAGAGATCTTGTAGTATTTCAGATAGCATCGTTTGAAAATTAAAAATAGTAAAATTAAGAAATTCAAAGAACTGAAACTTGTGCTTGAAAAATTGATGAATTACCCTAACAAAAATTTACTACAGTTAACTATAGTAAAAATTTTCATACTTTGATTTACTTTGAAACTTTACTCTAAAACTTTTTGAAGATCTTGACCGCTAATATTTCTTAAATTAAATATCATTCATGTTATATGCTATAGTAAACTATAGTTTACTATATGACTTTTTTGTTAGGGGAGAGGCTTTGAAAATTGAGTAAATTATATGTTGTTGTTGTAAATATTTCTAACATATTTATTCTTATTTAGGATTGTCAACTTATGTAGATATTAATTTTCTTTCCATTTCTTTAAATTTTCCTTACATTCCATTATTTGTTTCTCTATTTTTACACCCAGAATAAGTTGCATCTTGATTTTAATGAAAGAATGTTTTACTCAAATTTCTAATGAATTGCTTTTAAATTAAACATATAATTAGAGGAAATCTAAAATTTTCAAACAAACCAGACATCTATGAACTGGCTTTATAAGTTTTGTAACAAACAAACGATAGCTTAATTATCCATGCATATTTAATAGCCTTGAATATTTATATTCACTACCTGTGCATGAAATATGTCAAGAATGTTCTAAATTTGCATACCCATAGCACATACATTTAATATAACGCGAAAATACTTAAGCAAATCAAAAATACAAAAACAAACGTTTACAAAGAAATATTATGTACAATGTTTTTCTATAAAAGTTCATAATTGATGATTAATTACTGTAATATATCCTCACCATTAGAGATATTGACACTTTGGATGGTAGGTATATATCCGATTTGAGAAGCAGAAGCGTGCCAAAGTGCTGTTCCCTGCATTAGAAGTTGTGCACTAGCTGACGAAGAATTCTGCAGATGGACATGGTTTGGGTAATCCTTCATGGTGATTGAAAAACATGGAGAGACCAACTGTCCGCAGAAAAGACTTTAGAGGCGATGCGATAGAAAGGTGTTGTATCGGTCACTTGGTCAGAAGAGCCTTCTCGACCTAACTTCGAGGCTTTACGCCTCAGTGACTTGTAATTGCTAACTTTTTGACCACTGTGATGGGCACCTCGGTGAGTATGACCGCACGGGGCAAAAAAGCTGGAATTCTGCTTTAAAAATATGTTTCTTTTGTATACCTAAATCTACACGTCGAGGGCATTGAAAGTTGAGATCCATCGATGAGAGAGAATTTGTTTGGATTGATGATGAGTTCTGATAATACGATTGTATTTTTTTTCTTTTTCCCCTGCTCTGTCGCTCGGTCATCGGTCTTACTGACGATGCAGTGAGAAGTCAAGGTCGCGATGACCAGACAACATAAAATGATAACCCCGCGTCAAAACCACCGACTAATAATGTCTGATCTAGACAAACAACTCAGGTGGCGAAAAACAGCACTTAAAACAGATGTCCAAGTACTAAGGAATCATACCTCCTGTATCACCAGGCCAAAAAGCATTTTTTAATCTTAATATGTCTGTCATTTCTGCAGAAAAGGGGTGTATTTCTCAGATAGGTGCACAACAAAATTGGAATTATCTAACACAGTGAAGCCACTGCAGTTATAGCAAAAGAGAATAATGAAAGAGAAATGGATAGAAGAGAAAGAAAAGGAAAATGAAATCTGTTGAATTTTCTAAGGTTTACTCAAGAGTCAAGGAGGTGAAAAAGTCAAAACGGTATTCTCTGGAATTAACAACTTGACTGGGTCAAACCAAGGGTGAAGACTG